CGAGACGCCAAACACTTTTTGAGGCCCCAAGTCTGGAGGGTCATGAAGCCCGGCGAAGAGCGAGCCACGAAGCACCTGCGGCGACGCTAGTTTGCTGCTGCTGCTGCAGCAGCAGCAGCAAACGTGGGGTTGCTGCTGCTGCGCTGCTGCTGCAGCCGCAGCAAACGTGCGGCTGCTGCTGCTGCGCTGCTGCCGCAAGATTAGCAAACGTGCAGCTGCTGCTGCTGCACTGCTGCTGCAGCAGCAGCAAACCTGCTGCTGCTGCACTGCTGCTGCAGCAGCAGCAAATCTGCTGCTGCTGCTGTTTGGGGGGCTTTGAGGCGTCCGCTGCTGCTCACAGGGGGCTGGGGTGTACGTACACCCGAGCCCAAGCAATCCAAACAGTTTCGGACTTTTCCAAAAGACATGTTTTGCGGAATTTTGCAAAATTTTTTTTGAGGGTTTGGGACTTAGGTTTGAGGCCTTTTTACTGGAAAATAGTCCTTTATAATTATATTTTATAAAACGCGGAGCCGAAAAAAATGAAAAAGAAATAAAACAAATCCTACGGTGTATCTACACGCGGGCGTGGGGTGTACGTCCACCTCGTGAACTGCTGCAGGCTCTTTCGAATTCGAGAAAGCCCTGAACCCTAAACCCTAAATTTAAATAAAACATTTATATAATTAAAAGTATGCATATATTCAAACAAATATAACATTTATTTCGGAATTTATGCCTTCTGATGGAGAATTTATTTAACACGGCAGCGCCGTCTTAATATCCATTAGGCCCATGCAGAAAAGACATTGTTTATTTTATTTCCTTTTTTTGATTTTTTTTTGTCTTTTAGGTCCTTTTTGAGTTGCTGAGACTTATTATAAATGGCGGGATGGTGAAAGGAAAGAAAGAATAAATTTCTTTTTTTTTTGCAGTGAGCCCCCACGGGCCACGGGGTGTATCGACAGCTCCCTGCATTATATTACCCTCACTTTTGTGGCGAACTCGTGGCAAATTCGTTTGTTTGTTTTAATTGAAACTCCATATTTATTTATTTATTTTTCATTTATTCTTTTATTTGAGTCGATTTCGAGGCCTTTTGGCTCCTCGGCGGCACCGCTCTGGGCGCAGCTGAGGTGTACAGACACCTGGATGCGTGGCTTAAATGGAAAGAAGCTCCTAAAAAAGGTTTGGAGTTAGTTAAAAGTCTGTTTGTCTTGAATACAACAAACATATTTATTATTTATTATTTATTATTTATTTATTTATCTGTTCATTTGTTCATTGCTTATTTCCGCGGGTGCAGCAGCGGCTGCGTCGCCGGGGTGTACATACACCTCAGGCGCCCTCGGCCGCCGCGACAACCGCCGCAGGCGGCTGCTGCTGCTCTTCCTGTTGCTGCTGCTGCTGCTGCAGCTGCTGCTGCAGCAACAGCTGCTGCTGCTGCTGCTGCACAAGCCGCAGGAAGCGAGACAAAGCTAGAAAGAATAAATCTCCTGCTACTATTTCCAAGTTGTTATGCCCAGCGCCTTCCACCCACATGGGGCTGACAGTCAAGGGGGCCCTCTTGTACAGCTCCTGCAGCAGCTCAAACCCTAAACCCTAGCAAACCCTAAACCCTCGCAAACCCTAAACCCTAGCAAACCCTACGCCCTAAACCCTAGCAAATCCGAGACCCGCACATACCCTAAACCCTACAAAACCCGAAACCCTAGCAAGCCCCAAACCCTAGCAAGCGCTCAGCCCCAGAAACCCCAAGCCCTAGCAAACCCCAAACCCTAGCGAACCCTAAACCCTCGCAAACCCTAAACCCTCGCAAACCCTAAACCCTTGCAAGCCGGAACCCTCTAAGCTGCCCCCCTCTGCAGCCCCTCAAACCCTAAACCCTCGCGTGTAGAAACCCCCCCGGCGCCCTTCACAAAGGCGTGGGGTTTGCGGGTGCTGCGAAGCCGAGGGTTTAGGGTTTAGGGTTTAGGGTTTGGGGTTTACGATGCCGTGGTAGATGGGAACGACCTCGTCGTTGGTGCCGTGGATGCAAAAGACTGGACAAAAGACTTTTTTTATTTTATTTATGTTTTTGAATAAGTCAAAAGGAAGAGAAAACCTCAGACGCAGGGCCACGCGGTGTACAGACAGCAGAGCCGACTGCAGAATCAAACCCCCCACCCGCTCCCGCGCGCAGAGGTGCACGCTCGGCCCGGACCCTGCAGCAGCAGCAGCAGCAGCAGCAGCAGCAGCAGCAGCAGCAGCAGCAGCAGCGGGGGTGGGGGGCTCGTGGGCGAGCGCGGGCGAGGAGAGTGCGGGGGCCCAGCAGCAGCAGCAGCAGCAGCAGCAGCGGCGGCGGCGGCGGAGAGTGCAGGATCCACGGCAGCGGGTACGGAAACGCCAGCAGCAGCAGCAGCAGCAGCAGCAGCAGCAGCAGCAGCAGCAAACCTAGGGATCTGCCGTAGGCGACGATGCTGCTGGGGGGAATTTGCAGCTCTTTTGTGAGGTAATGAAAAGCTGCTTCTACAGACTCGTAAACCCCAGCTTCCGAGGGACTCCCGCTGCTGCAGCCGTAACCTGCAGCAGCAGCAGCAGCAGCAGCAGCAGCAGCAGCGGGGGAGGGAGCGTTGATGTGGGGAAGTCGGGGAGGGCCCCTGGGGCAAGACTGCGTTTAGGAAACGCTAAACGCTAAACCCTAAACCCTAGGCCCTAGCCCCTAGCCAGCGACACCAAACCCTAAACCCTAAACCCTAAACCCTAAACCCTAAACCCTAAACCCTCGAGGCCCACCGACGTATTCGTAAAGCAGCAAGTCAACTTTAAGAGCCGCAGAAACACTTTTGAAAAAACTAAAGGCCATTAAAATGTCTTCAGCATTTCCGTGGGAATACAAAAGGGTCAATGAGCCTCCGCTGCAGCAGCAGCAGCAGCAGCAGCAGCAGGTGGCGCGGGCAGGCGCAGCCGCTTGCGGCAGGGAGGAAACCCAAGGGGAGACCTACAAACCCTAAACCCTAAACCCTAAACCCTATACCCTAAACCCTGGACTCTAAAGCCTGCAAAAGAACGAAGCCTCGGTCCCTCCAAAGGACTCAAAACCCTAAACCCTAAACCCTAAACCCTAAACCCTAAACTCTCGACTCACCTTTTGATGTGAATTGCGTGAATAGTCTCCCCACTTTTTGTCTTCAAGGCAATAAGGTCGGGGGCCCCCGGGGGGCCCCCAGGGGGGCCCCCAGGGTACCTGGGGGGTTGGAAGACAATTTTAGAAATGGCTCCCCCCATCTGTGCGGCCAGGGCCTCAAACCCTTTTTTAGGGTTTAGGGTTTAGGGTTTGGGGTCTGGGCGCTGGGGTTTCCAGGGGAAAGACCTGGGCTGTATATACACTGCAGCAGCGCCTCCAGGCGGCAATCGGGGAACGCCGCAGCAGCAGCACTGCAGCAAGCAAACCCTAAACCCTAAACCCTAAACCCTCAACCCTCGCCAGCAGCTCCAGCGAGGGCCTGTGTAAAACTGTGGGGACCCTTGGGGGCCCCCAGATGGAGGCCTGCGGCGCTGAAAGGAGTTTAGCCCGCACACATTGAATGGTTTAGGGTTTAGGGTTTAGGGTTTAGGGTCTAGGGTTTAGGGTTTGAGGGCCTTGTGCAGCAGCTACATTGCTGTCGGGGCCTGGTCTTTTCTTTTAATTCCTTAAATCGAAAATAGAAGAAATAAATTAAAATAAAAAGAGAAACGACAAACAAGTTCTTAAGAGAAAGCAGCAGCAAGTGCTGCTTGCAGGGGCCCCCAGCAGCAGCAGCAGCAGCAGCTGCTGCTGTTGCTGCAGGGGGCCCCTTAGGTGCCTTTCTTTGTTTTGAATCCAAAATCCCATTTTATTGAATTAATTTGAATTTAATTAAATTCAATTAAACAAAAAAGTGAAACTTTTGACAGCTTCAACTTGAGAAGCATTCGGGGCGTTGGGGTGTACAGACAGCTATTCAACTTCAGGCTTCGCCAGCTCGCCAACCCTAAACCCCAAACCCTAAACCCTAAACCCTAAACCCTAAACCATAAACCCTCACACATGCTATTTTCGCCTCTTTCTGCCCTCAATTGACTCATTTGCTTACCTTCCGGCGGTCCGCGTGCGACTCGAGGCCCTCGCAAACCCCAAACCCTAAACCCTAAACCCTAAACCCTAGAGGCTGAAAACCCCAGACCCTAAACCCTAGGGTTTGGCTGGGGCCTTCAACCCCCTGCTGCTTCCTGAGGAGCGTTACGCCCGTCTTCGCCGAGGCTTCCAAGAAGATGGTCCGCCGTAAACCCTAAACCCTAATCCCCAAACCCCAACCCCTAAACCCTAAACCCTCAACCCTCCTTGGCGCGCAGCGCGCCGCACTTGCTGCTGCTGCTGCTGATGCTTGTCCGTTGCTGCTGCTGCGGGGGCTTTGCCGCGCGATCCCAAGGGCCCAGGGTTTAGGGTTTAGGGTTTAGGGTTTAGGGTTTGGGGTTCAGGCGGAAGTGGAGGAAACCCTGAACCGCATCAAAACCCGAAAAGGGGTTAAAGGCATTATTGTTCTTGCTGCTGATGGCTGCATCCTTCGCTCCACTTTGGGGCAGCAGCAAACTGCTGCTTATGCTGCAGCAGCAGCACAACTCGCAGACCGCGCACGCTCCCTCGTCCGAGACCTAGACCCCCAAGTAGGGTTTAGGGTTTAGGGTTTAGGGTTTGGGGTTTGGGGTTTAGGGTTTGGGGTTTGGGGGGCGCCGTGGGCGGTCCACGGCCGGCCAGCGCGCCCCGCGCGGCCCTAGGGCTCACGGCGTAGGGTTTAGGGTTTAGGGTTTAGGGTTTAGGGTTTAGGGTTTAGGGTTTGCGCAGAACGACGTGACCTTCCTGCGGGTGAGGTCCAAAAAACACGAAATCCTGGTGGCCCCCGATGGCGAGTATTTGCTGCTTGTCATTCAAGACCCCAACGCAGACTCCCAAGCTGCTGCTCTCAGCTAGCTAGCTAGCTAGCTAGCTAGCTAGCTAGCTAGCTAGCTGGCTGGCTAGCTGGCTGGCTAGCTATTTGGCTAGCTGGCTGGCTAGCTGGCTGGCTGGTGGCTAGCTGGTGGCTCGCTAGGCCCCTGGGCACGTGGCCAGGTGGCTAGCTAGGTCGCTAGCTCGTTGGCTAGCTAGCTAGCTAGCTGGTTGGCTAGCTGGCTGGCTAGCTAGCCGGTGGCTGTCTGAGTGGGCAGCCAGCTAGCCAGAAGGCTGCGTGGCTATCTGGCTGGACGCGGACTAGCACGGCTAGCTAGCTGCCTAAGTCTGGGGCTGGGAAACCAGCTAGCTGGCTAGCTAGCTAGCCGGCTAGCTAGCTGGCTAGCTAGCTAGCTAGCTAACTGGCTGGCTAGCTAGCGAGATAGCGGGGGAGCTGCTAATATAGCTGATGGCGTGAAGCTGCGGGCTCGTCGACTTCGCAGTTAGCTATTTAGAGCTAGCTAGCTAGCTAGCTAGCTGGCTAGCTAGCTAGCTAGCCAGTTTTCTAGAAGGCTGTTTCTGGCGTTAGCCAGCTGGCCACTTGGCTGGCTAGCCGCCCAGCTGGCCCTCGAGCTCGCCGGCTAGCTGGCTCGCCAGCGAGCTAGCTAGCCATCTATCTAGCTAGCTAGCGATCTAGCTAGCTGGCTAGCTAGCTAGCTAGCTAGCTAGCTAGCTGCGTCACGGCCACGGCGCCAAACAATTTCGCCGCCAGCCAGAGCGGCATTAAGTTTCTGAGGGATCTTTTGCTCACGCCTGGGCTCTCCTTAGCAGCAGCAGCAGCAGCAGCAGCAGGTGCTGCTGCTGCTGCTGCTGCTGCAGCTGCAGCTGCTGCTGCTGCTGCTGCTGCTGTGGGACTCCCGGCGCTGTTCCTCTTCGTCCGTTGACATGCTGCCCACGTCTAAACCCTAAACCCTAAACCCTTTCCTGCAGCCCCAGCTGCTGCGGGCGAGGGTTTGGGGCCTTCGAGGGTTTGGGGCTGCTAGGGTTTAGGGTTTAGCGCTGCTGGGGTTTAGGGTTGTTTGGGCTTAGTCCCCTTAGGGATTAAGCTTCTAGAGGGTTTAGGGTTTAGCGTTCAGGCAGCCGCTCCCTTTCCTTGCATCCTGGGTCTAAACCGCTGATTTAGGGTTTAAGGTTTAGGGTTTAGGCGGCAGCTCCTTTTCTTTGCATTTTGAGTCTAAACCACTTGTTGAAGTGGTTTACATCTCTGGGAAGATCTTGAGGGTTTAGGATGAGTTGTGGCGAGGGTTTGTGGTTTGTGTCTTTCCAAGTGAACCTTTTGAAGCGGTTGAAGAAGCAAACATCTGCTGCTGCTGCTAAGTGCCGCTGCTGCTGCTGCTGCTGCTGCTGCTGCCGCTGCTCTGCACTCATTTTGGTGCCATATTTGCTGCGCTTCCGCTGCCGGTTCTTCACTGGCTGCAAATCCCAGACCCCCCGCACAGCTTTGTAGTTGCTGCAGCAAACAAATAAATATTTATTCATTTATTATTTATTT